TCCCACCCAAACTATTCTGTGATTCTGTGATCTTGGTGTTCTCAAGGCATTTGCTAAGAGGTGTGGGAGGGAGAAAGAGCCAGTTCGCTTCTCCAGTTCTTGACAATAAAATGTTGCAATAGGTGTATTCCAGCCAAGCTCCTTGCCTGTCTCAGTGGGGAAAAGATGCAAGATGGAAGAACTCCAGATACTTTCCATCTTGTGGGATTTATCTTGAGACTTTTCCTTAGCTTCTAGCTTTTGTTTTACGTCTGTCTTCACTTACTGTCGTTACTGATCATGGTTTTCTGTTTGTCTAGGGGAACTTGGTAGCTGTTGGCACTCACAAAGGCTTTGTACAGATCTGGGATGCAGCTGCAGGAAAAAAGCTCTCCATGCTAGAGGGGCACACGGCCAGAGTCGGTAAGGAGCGGGCAGAGGTTTCATGTTTTACATTTCTTCATGATTGAACTTTTTCCTTGTAAGCGAGGGATCTGCTTGAAATAGCAGAACTCAAAAAGTACCAGAATTGATGTTTATCCCCTGCTGTGTCTTGAGCAGTCTACAAAATATTCTCATCTAGTAACTGTGGGGTTCTGATCTTGGGTGTGGTGACATTTGAGTATTGCAGCAGGTGTTTCTTCCATGTCTGAGGTCTTCTAGGTTTGGTTACGTCTTTTTTTGCTGCCACTGGCTTCCAGTTTCAGCCCTGCAGACAGGCTGCCTTACACTGAGATTTCTAGTTCCCTTATTCAGTGGGGGCTATCTTTTTTTTTCTTTTTTTTTTTTGTATTCTGAGGTGTTGTGAATCTGAACACTGAAGTGAGATTTGGGAGGTCAAGGCACCTTCCAAGTTCTATTTCTGTGCTTTACTGCACTGTGTAGTGGGATTAGTGATGCCTTCAGTAAGTCTGTGGAGTTTAACCTCTTTGCACACTATTCTAGGACTTCAGACACTGGCTAAAAGCGAGGTCTGTAAGCACTGATTTTTTTGGTTTTTTTTTTTGTTTTTTTTTTTTAAACTTTGGTAACTGTGGTGGCTGTGTTCTGCCTACCTGCTCCCACATGACTCCCACAACATAATCGTGTGCTCTGCCTGTGTTACAGGTGCCTTGGCGTGGAATGCGGACCAGCTCTCTTCTGGGAGTCGTGACAGGATGATCCTTCAGAGGGACATCCGCACCCCACCCCTGCAGTCTGAGCGGCGGCTCCAGGGCCACAGGCAGGAGGTCTGTGGGCTCAAATGGTCTACGGACCACCAGCTCCTGGCCTCTGGAGGAAATGATAATAAGGTATGGTGCTTCCAAGGAGTCATTTGGGGCTCAGTGTGTCTAGATCTTCACCAAGAAATGTCAGACCTCCTTTCTTTAAGGATATTCGGCCTCTCTGAAAAGGGCTTCTGTTTCAGTTGTTGGACTCTGTCCAAACATGAATCATGCTAAGCTTCTACTCAGCCTTCTCTCTCTAATAAAATTAAAAAGGCAAATTTAATTTTGCTTCTGTAGCTAATTAAATCTATAGCTTGACTTGGGGGTTGGAGTTCAACAAAGCTACTGCTAAATTGTACTTCCTGACTTTGTTTAGGCAGCATATCGTCAAGTTGGTTGCAATAATGTTTACATATGCAAAAGGAAACTGAGTTTTGAGCTATGCAAGTTCCAATACCTGTAATGCCGGCTTGCAGCTCACTGAGCACCATATGGAAGAAGCATCTGTTATGGAGAAGCAGTGTTCATGCTGGGGTTGCTAGGTAGTGTCTGTGTGACAGCATGGTTGTACCGAGTTCCTCCTGCTCAGAATAACTTGTAATGAACCTGAGTATATTTTAAATGTGTTTTGGAATAACACAGCCATAAAGACAAAAGAAGGGTTGGAGTTCATGTTCAGTGACCCTACATCTTTGGCTTCACAAGCTTAATTTAAGGGCTGTTCACTTCCTTGTGGCCCAGTGATGGAGCGGCTCCTCAGCTGAGCGTGGTGGCAGGACTGGCTTCAGGGCTGCAGGTGCCAAGCGGAGGTGCCTGTGCTTGAGCAGGGCTGTGGGAATTTATTTTGTTGCCCAACCGCCCTCATCGATCCCAGCGCAACATCGTGGCTTGTGGGTGTTGCGGACATGTGACTGCAGCACAAGTTTGATCACATCTCTCCTCTCTGACAGCTCCTTGTCTGGAATCACTCCAGCCTGAGTCCTGTCCAGCAATACACAGAGCATCTTGCAGCAGTAAAAGCTATTGCCTGGTCTCCACACCAGCATGGACTCCTTGCCTCCGGCGGTGGGACAGCTGACCGCTGCATACGCTTCTGGAACACGCTCACGGGGCAGCCTTTGCAGTGCATCGACACTGGGTCGCAAGTGTGCAACCTGGCCTGGTCGAAACACGCCAATGAGCTGGTGAGTTCCTCCCTGCGTGGTCCTGCTGCTGAGCTGTCTCGTGTTAGGAAGAGTGATCCACATTTCCCCCTCCCCTTTCAGGTGAGTACCCACGGCTACTCGCAGAACCAGATCCTCGTCTGGAAATACCCCTCATTAACTCAAGTAGCAAAGCTAACGGGGCACTCCTACCGAGTCTTGTATCTGGTAAGTGATGGCCGTGTCTCCGAAAACTTCCGTAGCCGTACGTGTGCTGAGATGAAACCCAAAGCTGCTGTGCCAGTGGCACTATAAGCTGGCTGTAGTCTAGATGGAGATCTGAACGCTGCCCTGCAAGCAATGAAAAATGCTCTGTATCTGGTTTCCTTGCCTGCAAGGGATACTTTGATTTGCTGCTATGGAAATGTGAGGCTTTATTAATGAATAGCAAAGCCTGCCAAAACTCTTCTGAGGGAACACAACCATCTCTTTTTGTTCCCTTAGGACTTGTGCACTTTCTCAGTGGCAACTGCCAGAAGGGGAAGAATTTGATGCTTTCGGTCCTCCTAATTTGTTATTAAAATGCTTGGTGTAGTTAAGCCACCTTGATTTCGTACCTGCTTTGGTACTGTTACGTAGGGCTTTCAGGGGATTCATGACATGATAAATATGCTGATACTGTTGTGGGGGGGTAGACTCTAATATAAGTGACTAATCGAGCTGGCAAATGCCAGTCATCGCACTTCCTGTCTTATACTTATTTATAATCTGGGGAGAAATAGCTTCAATTACAAATGGCTTGGATTTCTTAACACAGGAATCCTTTTTAATGATAATCCCACCCATGTGTTCCATAGCTGCGTAAGTAAGATGCAAGTGCTTGAATTGGCACCTACTGGGGCTGAATAAGGCACGTGAAAGCAGAGGTAGTTGTTTGGTTTCTCACTGCCAGCCAAGTAGGAAGGAGAGTTCAATCTCTCTCACGCATTCCAATGAAGATATGTTTTCAGCCTCAAAAATGTAACAGACGCTAAAGGTTGCTCTCTCTTGGCCTTAGGCAATGTCTCCTGATGGGGAGGCCATAGTTACAGGAGCTGGAGATGAAACCTTGCGCTTCTGGAACGTCTTCAGTAAAACTCGCTCGACAAAGGTAAGGATGTGCTATGTGGATGGCTGCAGCTGCGTTCTGCAGGAGGCTCAGCCTTTGGGGTGAATTCAGTCCAAATTTGATCTGTTCTGCTGCCTCTGATCTCTTCACCATATCCTGCAGATCGAGGGCTGGATGCAGCGAAGGGTTAAACTTTGCTGAGATATAAAGGGATTTGTAGTCATCAGACCAGATAAAGGGTTGCTTCTGTGCGCCCAGGGCAGGGTGACAGAACATCCTTCTCCTGGCTGTCACGGGGCTGCTGCACATGGCAGCGTTTTGGGGAGCTCACCCTGAGCCCACCATCTTCCCTGCTGGCATGCCTCTGTGAACCGCCTCGGGCCTCGGAGGGGATTGTTCCCTTGCTCCTTACGAAACCGCTTCAAACGGTGGCTTGGATGGAAATGGGATCCTGGATACTGCCACTGACAACTCCCCATCGCCGAAAGTGGGTTGTGCCAGGTTCTCTGGGAGCTGTTCGGGGTGCCTGGCAGAGGCAGGGGAGAATGGCAAAGAGATCTCAAGGACTGAGCTGCAGGGAGCCGGCGGGGCTTCCTGCCGGGTGTCCCCTGGCTTTCTGAGGGTGCTGGGGTACAGCTTCCTGCAAAGCTGTGGGAATGGTACACTTGCTTGCCATGCTCCTTGCTATCAGTTGGAAAAAAAACATCGGAATGTTTATGGTATTGGACTTTGCCTGGTGAGCTCAGATCATGCCCTGAGCTAGAGATACCTCAGCAGATTAGCAGTTGTTTTATTAAAAAAAAAAAAAAAAAAAAACCCGCAATAAACTAAAAGCATGTGGACTAACACTGCAGCACGACTGTGGAGTACTTAGTACCTGTTTTGTCTTTTCTTGTCAGGAGTCTGTATCTGTCCTCAACCTCTTCACCAGGATACGATAAACCCCATGTACTGTGGCAGGAGCCTACAGCCCGACATACCAGGATAAAACCACTCTCTTGGTGTGCTTGGACCCCCGAACGATCAGCCAGAAGGGCAGGGAGTGCCAGCAGGACTGGAGGACGGACCCTGGAGATGCTCATTAAATACGTGCTTGTGAACCACGCTGGGCAGTGTTTGGGATGGGGCTGGGGAGGGGAGGGAACTGCCAAAGGTTTATGGATCCATCCTTCACAAAGGGAAACGGGCACAAGAGAAGTGTTCAACCAGCGTCCTCCAACCCTCGTGTTGTGTACTGGAGAAAGCATGTGTGACATGGACCATGGAGACCGGACCAAGGCCATCCCAGCTGCTGTGTTGTCCCCTCTTGGGAGAGCTGAGAGTATCCTTGCCTCTGTGGGAACGGGTTGAACGTGCTGCTCTGGGTCCCTCTGTCCTCAGATGGACATCTGTGGAGGTAGGAGCCAGCCAGATGTGTTCAAAACCAGTGCAAGGGGACTCCAGGCTGGGCGTCAGCCTCTCTGATCTAAGGGCATTGTTTATAGTCTGGTATCCCCATTACATGACGAAACTGGAGAACTGCTTCTTTTCCTTTTTTTTTTTTTTTTTTTTTTTTTTTCCAAAATAGGTACTGTAGTACTTGATCCAATCATTCCTTTAAGACAGCTTGATCTTTGGCATGCTTGACAGCTGCCTTCAAACAAATACATTTTTGGGCTCTAAACTTTGGAGGAGACTTGAAGAGGCTCCACCTCGGAGGGAGCACATTCAGAAAGTTCTGAAATTGGTATTGCATGTTCTGGGCTGATCCTTTTAGTTAACAGAGAGGAAAAACAATGGCTTTAAGGGAAGAAAAAAAAAAACCAAACCACCACCATGCATGTGGAGCTTCCCACAGCGCTGTTTGTGGCAGGCTGGTTGCTCTGGAGTCTTCCTGAGGACAAAAGCGGTTGAGATGTGTTTGAGAAACAAAACAACTCGTGTTGGATCTGTTTTTTGGAGAGAGCGTGGCCTCTTCTGGCTGCAGGGGGGGAAATGCCACATCTGGGCCGGGGGGAGGGGGTCTTTTTCTAAGGCATGGAAGAAGTGTTGCTTTTTTTTTTTATCTCAAAGTCAAAGCCAGGGACCTGTTGGGGTTTTTTTGTTTGCTTTTGGTGTTTTTAAGTTGTATGGGAAGAGTGCCAGGTGGTGTGTTTGGAGCCTGCGTGGTGAGTGCCGTGGGATGTGACACAAAGCACTGGTGTGGATGTGTTGCTTTTAATTTAAAGAGAAGCTGTTATGCTTGCAGTAGCCTGTTCCTGTCTTACTCTGTACGTGTGCCAACGCTCTCCCTGCTGTGCACCTGCCTTCTGCCCGCTCTCATGCCCTGGGATGTGAGTGCCGGGCTGTGTTCTCGTTCGGATTTTCCTGGCTGTGTACATAGACCTCGACCTGTTCTCTGTAGAGTGCATAGGCAATGCTTTTCTCTCTTTTCTTTTTTTTGTTTCCTTTCCCTGAAACCAGACTGTAGGGCTGGTGATAGGAATGCGATTGTCTCTCTCTAGGGCCACCAGTAGCCTTAGGGGGAGGTGTGGGAAGGCTGGGCCATGAGGTCCCGTTCTGCTCACGACAGCCTTGGCCGCGTGTGCCGTCGCACCAGCACCTGGAGCGGGCTCGTGGCGCTGCCTCTGCGTGTCGCAGGTGTTCAGAGGCACTGGTGGGGAGTTCCTATGCTGGGAACTTGCTGCTTCTTCGCAGCCTGGCAGCGCTGAGTCCCCAAAGCCCAGATTGGCAGCTGCATCATCACCTTACAGCTTCACTTGCCTCCAAAATGAAATGTCAATGTTATTGCCGAGAGAGTTTCAACACAACAACTTGATTGTAGTTCTTGCTGCAGGAGCGTGGGGTTTAAAAGTCCGATGGGCCCCCAGCTCCTCTCGTTGCTCATCACATTCACTGGCACCGTTAAACTTCATTGTGTGGAAGGACTGCCGCACAGCACCGAGGAGTGGTTCAAACTGGGATTGTTCAGCTGGCAAAAAAAAAGCACCTGCAGCATGGCGTGGGCTGTCCCGGGGGTCTGTCCTGGATGGTGTCACCCTGGCAGGAGCCGAGCCCAGGGACGGGGACATTTACACCGGGGGTGGAGGTGGCTGGTAGCGGCTGCTGTGGGTTTTCTTGTCCTTTGTGTATTTTCTCCTGCCTAAATACTGACACGCAGGCCCCCAGGAGAGCTGCTTTCTCCTCCAGGAGGATGGTTGGGGTGGGGCCCAGGTGAGGTCTCAGCCACGGGCAGGTTTCACACCGGTTTGCGCCCATTCCGGAGCAGGAGGGAGCTGCGCAGCCCAGCCGGAGCATGGGGTGGCACAGGGCGAGTGTGGTGCTGCTGGGACCCCCCCTCCCCAGGACTCCTGCGAGGATGGAGGATGGAGGGGGGGTTGCCTGTCCTGCTGTGACGTGGGGGCTGTCCCCAGAGGAGTCCCAGGAGCTGCGGGGCGGGGGGCAGCACTGCTGGGTGCTCCCCACTCTGCCAGCATCCAGCTGTGCCCCATGGTGCTGCGGGGGTACACAGCCCCTCATTGCTCTGTCCCCACCTTGTGCCCCTCTCGTGCCAGGGACTTTCACAAACACTTCTCTCACTTTTCTCACTTGGAGCTGCCTTGGGAGCAGGTTGGCTCACGGTGCCTGCTCTCATCACGCTTGGCAGGGAGGGCTGGTGATTTCCAGGCCGTGGCTGGTGTGCAGCGGAGCACGTTTGCTAACGAGCGTGGTGAGGACGAGCTGTTGGCATTGACTGAGCTGTGAAAGCACAGCACAGAGTCCTTCCCCCACCCTGGTCACAGCTGCCAAGGCAGGAGCGCGGTGCCCAGGAGTGCTCTCTGCGGCTCTTCCAGCCTGTGTGTCGGTGGGTGCGTGCATGTGTGGCGGTCGTGCAGGTGGGCGGTGGGATGCTGTTGGCTGGCTGGAGCGTGCTGTGGTGCGTTCAGTGGGGAAAAGCATAAAGCTAGCGTAAGCTTGCAGTCTTGGTGTGTGATCTGTGAGTGCTGAACCATGTGGACAGGTGGAGCAAAGGGTCCTCCCAGAGTTGGTGTGATTTAAAGTCTGCGACTAGAGCGTTGTAACTTTTCTGTGTAAAGCAATCTAACTGGCATTAAACAAGTTGTGAATTTATGTCTCTCGGGCTTGGTAGCCCTGCTTCGCTTTTCCAGGGCCAGGTGAGGTGCACAGTGAGTCCCTGGGCACTCTGGAGCTGCCCTGCCCCGGGGTTCGGAGGCCTCGGGGTCCCCGAGCAGCCGCCCCTGGCTCTGGAGGTACCAGCTCTCGGCACAGGTCTCGCCTGCGCTTTATCGCTCCC